GGGATCGAACCTGCACCCCCTGCAGTGGAAGCGCACAGTCTTAACCACTGGACCGCCAGGGAAGTCCCACAAACTACTAGTTTTTAAATAATCTTAAATCCCCTATTTCCTTCAGTCCTGCTCAAATGCCATCTTCTCAATGAGGCCACCCACACCTAATCACCCTATTTTAAATTCCAACAACCTACCCCCTCAACTTGGCTCTCTCTATGCCAATTAGTTTATTATTATCTGTCTCCTTCCACTAAAGAAGGCAGGTATTTTTTTGTTATGTTCACATCTGTACCTCCAGCACCTAATAAACTGCATCTAGCACATAATGGATGCTCAATAATTATTTGCTGAAAGAAACAAATGAAATCATGAACTTGTCCCTCTGTATTCAGCAGAAGTTTTTGTTTTTCTTTTAATTATTTTATTTATTTATTTACTTTTGGCTGCGTTGGGTCTTCCTTGCTGTGCGTGGGCTTTCTCTAGTTGCAGAGAGCTGGGGCTACTCTTCATTGCGGTGTGCGGGCTTCTCATTGTGGTGGCTTATCTTGTTGCAGAGCACGGGCTCTAGGCACACAGGCTTCAGTAGTTGTGGCTTGGGGGCTCTAGAGCACAGGCTCAGTAGCTGTGACACACGGGCTTTGTTGCTCCGCAGCATGTGGGATCTTCCCGGACCAGGGCTCGAACCTGCATCCCCTGCACTGGCAGGCGGATTCTTAACCACTGCGCCAGCAGGGAAGTCCCAGCAGAAGTTTTAAAAAGGATCTTCTGTACCCTACGTTATTACGAACCAAAGAACTGTACATTTGCACTGTGGAATCTTGGCCATTACTTCTATGTCTAGCCCTTCATTTTATAGATGGTGAAAATTAAAGTAGAAGCAGTGCGATGTAGCAGCAGTAGCAAAGAATTTGGTATCAAAGAACCTGAGATCCAGGTGAGAGTCTGTGCAAGAAACTTAGCCTCTCTAACCTTCCAATTTCCTCATCTGCAAAATTAAGATAATTCCTACCTCCCAGTGATGGTTAAGCATGGCTATGAATAAAATAACATTTGGAAAATGTACAAAGTACTATACAAGTGTCCTTTTTCATTAGGCTGTTTGACCTGCCAAAGGTCACAGACATAGTTAGGGGCAAAGCTAGTAATAAGAATTCAAGTTTCCTAACTCCTGGTCCAGGGCATCTTGTGTTGTGAAACTAGCCTTCTGGTTCCCCTACTCAAGGCCAACTTAAATCTTTCATCTAGTTTAAGGCCTTTTCACCTTCCTATGGTTGGAATCTCTTTCAAAATTTGATGGAAGTGACAAAGTACACATACGTACACCAACACAAAGTCTCCTATAACCCATCCTTGGGCCCCAGGCTCAGAGACCACTGATAGGCCTGATGTACTAATAAGTTACTCTCAGCAAGTTCTATCACTTATTTTCATGTTTAATAATTCATGCCTAGAGCTCTTGATTCAAGAGGCTGGATCCAAGGAAACACCAACAGGAACCCGAATTAAAGACACTGCCCCCAGATCATCATGCTGATGAGGTGAGGGTCTTAACCCACATACAACCACAACCAGGAAGGCAAAGGATTCTGTACTCAAAGCAGGAAGCTCAAGAAAAAAAGTAGACAGGACCATCACATTATTTTCATCTTGCCGCTACTATATGAACCAGGTAATTCTACATGACCATTTTCAAAGAACCACCTGGAAGCCCCATGGTTGGTTTCTTCTCTAGAGAAAATATGCCCAAAATGTTTATGATGGGATTCCCCCCTGCAACCCACCCTACACCCACCATGATTAACTCCAGACCAGATTACTGAAGATGGTCTATCGTCCCTTACCTTACTCTGGTTATGTAAGACAAGCTACCACTGTAAAGATCACTTGGCTAGCGGGAAAAAAATTAGTACTAAATCTTTTCTTTTCCCCTAATAAATTTACTTATTTATTTATTTTTGGCTGTGTTGGGTCTTCATTGCTGCACGCGGGCTTTCTCTAGTTGTGGTGAGCAGGGGCTACTCTTTGTTGCAGTGTGCAGGCTTCTCATTGCAGTGGCTTCTCTAGTTGTGGAGCACGGGCTCTAGGCATGTGGGCTTCAGTAGCTGCAGCACGCGGGCTCAGTAGTTGTGGCTTATGGGCTCTACAGCGCAGGCTCAGCAGTGGTGGCGTCCTGGCTTAGTTACTCCGCAGCATGTGAGATCTTCCCAGCCCAGGGCTCGAACCTGTGTCCCCTACACTGGCAGGCGGATTCTTAACCACTACACCACCAGGGAAGTCCCAGTACTAAATCTTTCGGGAGATCAATTCACCATTCTTCACTCTCGAATCAGGACAAAACATAACCAGCCTAACCCACTAGAATGTTAAACAATTACAGAACACTTGATATAAATGAAGTGGCTCTGAATTTGATAATTTTCTGAGGCAAAGAAGGTGTGCCATGAGCTTCTTTGGTAATCCATCCAGTTAAGCAGCTAGTTATAGATATTTCATAACACCAACTACTGAATTCAGTATCATTAATCTACTGTTGTCCAGCTACACCTCAATCTCCTCATCTGAAAAATTAAACCACCACTTAATCCAGGGCACAAAAACACGTGTGAGCATGTTTGGGAATTTCTAAATATGTTAACAGCTAACAGCTTTTATCCCTGAGTGGTGGGATACAATGTTAACAGTTAATAGCTTTTATCTCTGAGTGGTGGGATTATGGGTGATTTAAGTCTCTTACCTATATTTTATATAATGATTTTCAAGTCTTATATAATGATTATGCATTGTTTTTAAAATCCGAAATTTTTAACTTAAAGCATATCTACACATTCGCAGATTTTTGGTCTGATGATTACAGGACCCATACTTGGGGGGCAGCAACATACAAGTCCCTAAACATATCCCAAAAAACAAGAATCTGGTATATTGACATCTAAAGAAATCCTGTACATTCAAGGCTAATTAACAGAGTAAAAAGGTTTTCTTACATGCAAAAATAAAAATATCCATGCTTTGGGGATCAGTTCTCTAAGTGGGAGGTCTTGACCTCTTGCAGAATTGCAGCATGAATGCTCCCAGACCTTCAGCTATCTAAGAGATTGCCTTGCTTTAGATAAATAGAAGCCAAGTCCTTGAAGATTCTGCTTCCTAAATTTTCTATAAATCCATGGGTTTAGCTTGGTGGTCAAGGGTAAAATTAGTTCTTTCCCACAGCTGAAAACTGGTTTCCTAAAAAAGCTGATACCCAACTTCTACCACTTGGTATTATTCATCATTTCTATCTTTTAAAGTTGCAGTAAATTAAGATTTTATAGGGCCCTTGCAGCTGTCCAACTGAGCAGTAGTATTGTTTCTTGTTTGTTTGTTTTTAAGAAGGCTCTTCCAGTGCATCATAAACTCTAACCAAGGGATTGTTTGTCAAACTTTCAGGACAATAAACTATTAGATTAAAAAAAAATCACTTAAGCAAAATAAAAATAATTTACTTATTTAATTATACTTAGAGAATCAAAATTGACCATGTTCTCAGTGAATTCTGCGCTCACGGAGTCAAATTTGCTAGAAGCCTAAAAATTACTTTAAAATTTTTAATTTCTGACAATTACTGAAAACTTTAAGTTATTAAACTTTGCATTCATCAAAACACATGTGAAAAGGATTACAACAAGAACTGCAGAGGTAAAAGTCACTATCCTTAGGTATCCATCTAGGGAACAACATCTCCAAATTATAAACAGATACGGATAATTACCAAAATACGTACACGTTGGATTCCAAATATTCAATCGTGTCTTATATACTTCAAATAGCACACATTTTAACTACAACAACCACCAAAAAAGTGTCACTTCCAAGAAATACTGGGCTCCGAAGAGAAAACACTCATCTCAAGTGGCCCTGATTATTCACCTGTAACAACGATTTTTCATTTCTGTTATACACACAGATTGGACCTCTCAGATCAGGTTACATTGCCTTTAGGAATTCAAGCTGCTAATACTTAGAAACCACAGGTTCATTACTTAGAACATAAAACGTTATTTATAGATTACTCGACTTCTGTAACAACTTCGAGCAAGATTACTTTCTTCTATTTTTCCGTCAGTAAAATCGGAATACATGGATTTTTGCAAGATGAAATTTTTCCACAGTATTTTTAGACGGGGTTCTTAAACTCTAAACCCGTAATTCAGCAGCACCTCAGTCCTATTACGTTTCAGGGAGAAAATGGGGCAGGGGCAAGTTTAGCGGCACCACCACGGCATTGTCACCACAACACCTCCCACCGCAGCCACCATTTTGAGCAGCAGAATTAAAGTGCTGAGGATTTTCACCAACTAAAAGGAAACACGGGGTCCTCGGGACGGTTGGGGCACAAGTCCTGACGCTCGGCATTCCCTAATCTGTCGTTTCTCCTCCTCAGGCGGCGGGAGCCATCGTCCCGCTCACGTTTTTAGAAAAAGCCGTGCTCGTCCGAGTCACGTCCCAACTTTGAAAACGGCGTGCGGCGCCGAGCCCCCCGCACCCGGAGGCCGCCGCATTGTTGCCGCCCGCCCGCGCGCACCCTCCGCCGCCGGGCGCGCCTCCCTCGGGCGGCGGACCCACGGCCCCGCTCGCCCGCCCGGCCGCGCCGGTGCCGCACCTTTGTCCGGGGCCGCGGCACCGGCCGGCCGCGCGCGCTCGACCCCAGGCGGCCGGGGGAGGGGTCGGGGCGCCGGCCAGGGGCGCCCGCCCGCTGCCCGGCCCCACAAAGCCCGCCGTCCGCTCCCCCGGCCGCCCGGCCCCGCGCTGCGCTCGCAGGGACGCCGCCGGGAGTAACGGCCCAACTTTCCCCGCCGCCCGGTCCCCTCAGCCCGGACCCCGACCCCCGCCCTCCCGGGCCGCCCTGGGGCGCTCCCCGCCCTCAGACCCCCACTCAGCCCCTCAGACTCAGCCCCTCAGAGGTCCCCGCGCGCCCCCGCCCCCCAGAACCCCACCCGGGTTCCGACCCCCGACCCCGGCCCGCGCACCTCAATCTCGAAGTCCGGCAGGCTGAACGCCGTGCGGAAGAGCGAGCAGAAGTGCGCGATGGCCGGCACTTCCCACCACGAGCGCAGCTCGCCCAGCCCGGCCGCGCCGCCCTCCTCGGGGCGCATCTCCGGCAGCGCCGCCGCCTCCGCGCCCGCCGCCCGCCAGCTCCCGGCGCCGCTCCGGCCGAGCTACCGAGGCGGCTGCCCCGGGCCCATCGCGCCGCGGCCCGGCCGCCCAGCCCGCACAATGTCGCCGCGGCCCGCGGGGAACAGATGGGCCGGGGGCGGGCGGGGGCGGGGCTTCGGCACAACAACAACCCCGCCCCCGCCCCCGCCCGCCGCCCGCGGGCCGCGCACGGGCGGGGGAGGGGCGCCCGAGGGCCGGGAGGAGGGGCCGCGGGCAAGCACCGCCCCCCGCCCCCGCCGGGCCCCGCCCCCACGTGGCTGGGGGTCGCGCCCCTCTGAGGCGGGCTGGCTAGAGGCGCCTCGTGGGGCTGCGCGCACGTGGGGCTGGGGCTGCGGTTGAGAGGGAAGGGCAAAAGGGGAAGGGGGGAGGGCGAGGGGGGCGGACCCCGCACGCGGGCAGAGCCCACGGGCCGCCTGGCCCCCGCCCCCGCCCGGCCGGCTGAGACTGCGCCTGAAGGCGCACGTGCGACGCTCGGGGGCGCGCGGGGCGCTGCGGGCGCGTCCTGCCGGCCCGGGGGGCACCGGGCGCCCGCGCTCCAGTCCCGGCCCCGGCTCGGCCGCTCGGGGATCCGCGCGGGGACCTTCGGCCGCGGAACTCGCCCGGTGGCCGCGCTCAACTGGGGCGTTGTGGAGTGCGCCTCCGGATAATTCTCTCCCTCACTTTATTCCCGTCATTTTGGTAACCTGTTTTTATAAGGCGGCACTAAAAAAAAAAAAAAACTTCAAATGTGTATTTAACTGTATCTTTCATGAAAGAAAATACTTCATCCAACACTGGCTCACTCCGCCTCCCCCCCGCCCCCTGCTCCAAGCTTACGCAGTTCTGCTCTTCTATTACCTGGAACTATTGGCTGGTTTAAAATTCACCCTCAGATTCTACCGTGTGTTTTAATCTTTGACCAAAATGAGCCCATATCTAAACGCCCCCAGACGCAGGGGCTGCATTTTTGTGTGTTGAACGCGCGGCTCCTCGGCAGATGCCCTGTTGACAGCTGAGGTGTGGGAAGGGTGACACCCTTGAATTAGACGTTTTCGGGACTTTCTTCCCCTGTACGTCTTCATTTCCCCACGGGTCAGCCTGACTTGCACACCTTTCCCTCTCTTTTGTGTAAGCTTCCTGCTTCCCTTCACGTTTGTTTCTAATCCATTACCTCCTGCCTCTGCTTCCCCCCCTTTTCCCGGATCTCCTTCCGGCTCCTCCCTCTGCCCTTCATCCTTGTCCTCCTTCCCTGCCTCTCCGTGGTCCGGCCGCCAGCCTGGTAGTCGCAGCGCCTAGGCCGCCACATAGCAGGAAGCAGAAAGGTGACAAGACTGGGTTACTCTCCCCACACCACGGCCCCGTCCTGGAATCCAGCCAGACTCTCCTGGAGCCGGGGAGCCCTGGTGGTGGCCGAGGCCCCCTCCTCAGCACCCTCGCCCCCAGGCTGCCTTCTTCATCTGAGGGTCGCCTCGGCGTCCACATGGGCCTCTTTCTTTCTCTCCTTCTCTAGCTCTGGTCCACTGTGCTCTCACTGGGCCAGAGCCGGTCCTGGCCCTCCAGCCCAGAGGTCTTCTGTGTCTCCTCGGGGTTCCCCCGCGCTAAGGCTCCAGCTAGAGCCTCGCGTTTGCACCCACCCCTCCCTCCTGCTCTGTTGGAACCGATACCCTGAACCCTTGAACGTTTGCCCCACCTTTCCCCCGCGCGGCTTCCGCCTAACCTCCTGGGACATGGATCCCTAACCCTGTGCCTCCCCAGACACCGGTCTCCTCCCTTCTCCCGCGGACTCCGAGGGCTTCCTCCCACGCCTTTTCCAGCCCCGCCCACTCCTCACCCTCCAAACACCAGTTGTATCCTATCCTGTTCCCAGAAGACACACGCAGCTCATACTTTCTTTCCCTTTCTCTCTCTCTCGCCTCTTTTCTGTTTGTGAGCCAGCGCTGTTGATCTCAGATGACATTGGAAGAATCTCAGATGACCTTGGAAGTGCCAAAAGAAATTCTCTTCCAGATTCCCCGCCACCTTCAATTCCATATCATCTTCCAATTAAATGTTTCCCATTAAAAACACACACAATACTTAGTCTGGCTAACTTGTTTTGCTTTTTAATTAATGTGACAAAAAATATTTGTGTTTCTCTTTGCAAAATATGCAGTAATTTCAGCTATTATGGGATTTTTATAGGTTCCTGGAGGATGGTCTAGGAAACTAACGACCGTTTTCTAACACCATTTGTTTGGGAAATACAAATTCTGTAAGATCAGCTAAAAACAATTATTTGAACCTTGGAAGGGGTGTGACAAAAGTGGTTTCTTCCATAAGCCCCGCTAACCAGGACTAGAATTCAAATCTAACTGTTCATCCAGGTGGATTACGCTGCTTCTCTCTCCTACTCAAGTTGCCCTTCCTACCCCTTTGCCTGACCACGCTGACGTGGGCGCTCCTCGTTTCAGCCCAGGAACCCAGCTGGAGCTGGAGGGACACAGAGCCATTATTCTCCCACTTCAGTTGTCTGCACACCTGAAGTCCAGGCACCTCACAAAGTCTTAGCACACCCTCACACACAGCCTCCTGTCTCAGCAGAGAGCTGCCTTCCATAGTGTACCTATTCCCACAGAGGGCTGTAAGTCAGGCTAATGTTAACATTTTAGAAATTGTGGAAACTGAGTTATATTAGTTGGCTGTCTCTTAGAAAAAGCTTAATCTCTCACGTTTGTATTTCACCTGCGAGGAGGGGCTGAACTAATGGTCCCTGAGCCCTATAACTTTCACCTTTAAAGTAGAGCCAGATTAACGTTCTAAAATTTAAATTCAATCATGTCACTCACCTGCTCAAAACTCTATGACCCTCCCTTGAGCGTGAAAGTCCACTCAAGTCTTACTAAAGCCACAATTTGGCTCCCACCTGCCTCCCCAGCCTCACCTGCGATCCCCACCCCCACCTCATCCAACCAGTGACTCCTTCCCTCCTGCCAAACTGGTTCACTCGCCTGCCGGGATCTTCCTCCTCCTCCCTTTTGATCCCGCCCTTTCAATTGCCTGCAAAGACAACTCAACCTCTCCAATCATGACCCACTCAAAACTCACCTCCTTCGTATGGCTTCCCTGAAACACCCTAGCTTGGGGGTATCTCTCCAGGTACTCTGACTCAAGAAACTACAGTTTGTATGATTCACTTATCAGCCACCTCCTTGGGTCATCTTTCTGTTCTTAATTGAAGTACCACTCAAATCTTTTACTGCAGCTGGGGGTGTCTTCTCCACCAGATTAGACTTGGGGTGCACGAGTGGAATCCTCCCTAATACACAGCAATTAAATGATGAATTTGATTATCTAATGATGACATAAAACCATAAGAAATTCAGAACTCCTTTAAATGCCTGGTGTCGACTTGCTTCCCTTCCTTCATTCCTTCCTCTGCCTTTCAGCTTTCTCCCTCCTGGACCTCACTCAGGCAGTCTCAAAGGTCATGCCTTTCTCCATGCAGTCGTATTGTCAGGGGATTGACTTCAAGACCCCCTCGGATAACAAAAGTCACCAAAGTCCCTTTTATAAAATGATGTAGTGGGGTCAGCCCCGTATCCGTGGTTCCGCGTTCGCGGATTCAACCAAGTGCAGACGAAGAATCCATCCTCAGCTTAGCTTTTCTCCTGAGCTCCAGGGTCATTTCCCCCTATGCCAACTGGATGTTTCCCATCACCTTAAACTCAACATGTTAAAAGGAAGGAGGAAAACTAGCTCCGAATTTTTCTCCTCAAGTCACACACCCTTTATTTATTTGGCTGCGTGGGGTCTTAGTTGTGTCATGTGGAATCTAGTTCCTTGCCCAGGGATCAAACGCCGGGCCCTCTACGTTGGGAGAGCGGAACCTTAACCGCTGGACCACCAGGGAAGTCCCCCCACTTCTTTTTGACACCCCCAGTCTCCACCCCAACCGGGGTCCTTTCATCTCCCTATTTGAGAAGCCTCCTAATGGTTCTCTTTCCTCTGGTTTCTCCCCAACCTCCTCTGTCTCGCCAGCATAGCTGGATTTGTCTTAGAACTGTACGCCAGTTCCGAGAAGGTAAATTTAATGTTTTCTTAAACCCAGTATACCCACAATATTATAATTTCAACACGTATTATCAGTATTAAAAATATCCATGAGAGGGACTTCCCTGGTGGTCCAGTGGTTAAGACTCTGCCCTGCCAGTGCAGCGGGTGCAGGTTCGATCCCTGGTTGGTGAGGTAAGATCCCCGCATGTCTCTCAGCATGGCCAAAAGATTTAAAAAAAACAAAAAAGAGTGAAGGAAAAATTGCGACTTCCCTGGTAGTCCCAATGGACCACCCAATGGAGCTTCCCTGGCTCCACACTCCCAATGCAGGGGGCCTGGATTCAATCCCTGGTCAGAGAACTAGATCCCACATGCCACAACTAAGACCCAGCGCAGCCAAATAAATAAATAAATCTTTTAAAAAATATATCAGTGATGGGCTTCCCTGGTGGCGCAGTGGTTGAGAGTCCGCCTGCCGATGCAGGGGACACGGGTTCGTGTCCGGGAAGATCCCATGTGCCGCGGAGCGGCTGGGCCTGTGAGCCATGCCCACTGAGCCTGCGCGTCTAGAGCCTGTGCTCCGCAACGGGAGAGGCCACAACAGTGAGAGGCCCGCGTACCGCAAAAAAAAAAAAAAAATCAGTGAGCTACTCTACATGCGTTTTTCTTCATACCAGATTTTTTGGAATCTGGTGTGTATTTTACATTTAAATGCGCATCTCAGTTAGGACCAGCCGTCTCTCGGTGCTGCATCGGGCACTTGTGGCTTGTGGATGCTGTGTTGGGCGGACAGGTCTGCGGTTACCCACGTGCCCAGGGCTCACCCTGACCACTCTGAACCTCTGGATCACCGGCCTCGGCGGGTCCACACCCTCCCTCTGCCTGCACCTCCAGGCAGGTCTCCCTGAACACTCTGGCCTACGGCAGCATTTCCCAACCTACGTCTTTCATGTATGCTTGATTTCACCAAAAAAAATCCCAGCTCTTCCCTAGCGAACAGCCCATGGACTGTCCTCCTTAGAGCAGGCTACAAATAATTGGTCGTAAATAAGTGTTTGTGAA